ACAAATGCCGATTGGATTAAATCTTTAGATGATTGAAGATCAACTACAGGTTACTGCACACTTGGTAGGAGGCAACTTGGTCACATGGAAAAGTAAGAAGTAAAGTGTAGTTGTCTGTTCTAGTGTAGAGACAGAGTATAGAGCAATGGCTTAAGGAGTTTTTGAATTATTATGGTTGTAAAAACTAATAAAGGAATTAAAACTACTTAAAGAGAAGAGACTATCTCTATTTTGTGACAATAAAGCAGCCATTAACACTGCTCATAATTCAGTTCAATATGACAGGACAAAACACATAGAAATTGATTTTCATAAAAGAGAAGGTTGTTAATGACTCTCTATACTTATATCATATATCTTCTGGTGAGTAGATGGCTGATATTTTCACTAAAGAACTATGCAATAAATTCCTCCAAAACCTAGTTTACAAGTTGGACATGTGTGATATTTTTGCACCAACTTGAGAGAGAGTATTGATAAGTATTGATAAGGATTCTATGTTAAGTAGAGTATTAGATTATAGTTAAAGTTCTAATAGTAAAGATATATCATGTAATTAGAGTTTTCTTAAAATAATAATAATTACTATATATATCTCATAAGTGTAAACACAAAAAATATAAGTAATAAAATTAAAAATTTATTTTCTCCAAAATCTTCAATAAGTGTAGCTGATGTGTAGTTCCATTGAATTGATGAGTCATGCCATGACAAGGGCATTGTTGAGTTCCCAATTGGCATAGGATATGTCCGAGACGTCTGGTTGTTTGATTTCGCTCGTGATGTAGCTGAGTTTTCCCCTTCTGCTGATTACGAGCAAAACTGACTGCGACCATTGGAGGAAGTTTTTTCCATCCAGTTGATGATTCTGAGGATGAAGTCTTTGCCTCCTCTGAACTCAGCCTGTTGGAACGAGGAGTTAATAGGCAGAGGAAAAGAAAAAAAGAAACAAAATGGAGGGAACCAAAGGAATTCTTGTTGCGGAGTTTTACCGCTCTGATACCATGAAAGAATTTGAGAGGAATAATTTTCTAATATTGTAATGAGCCAAACCCGCATTCAGAGTTCTAATCATATCCTACTATCTAATAACAAATAATTTATAAAAATGTCTCGCGCAACAAATATTTAAGGATTTAAAAGTGCATCTCTTACACAACTTTGTTTTGAAATATCCAAAATCCATAAGATGTGTCTAAGTTCTAAAATAAATATTTAGTATAAATAAATAAATAATCTTAATTATTGTATAAATTAAAGTAAGATGGAGTGAAACGGTCTCCTAGCAAATCTCTCATCATTCAGGAGCGGCGTCCTAAACGTCTTGATCTGAAAAGGATAATGAATTGGGTGAACTACACTAACTCAATAAAAATATGAAAACCAAACAACGTAATGATCTATCAAAATGTTGTAAAAAACAGTAAAATAGTCGATGGAGCATTTATTTTTATAAAACCAACTTTAAACTTAGAGACATGTTTAATTTCCTCGCTTCAGACTCCTACTCCTCTAATGTAGAGTTTTCATTATTGTTTTTCGTCACTATTTGATTCCCTCTTATAATCACCATCATATTAAATTAAATTTATATTCAACTAACTTGGTTTACATTTACAAATATTGTCAACCATATCAGATATGATTTAGATAGTTTCCATATCAAGTACACACACAAAATATATTAAGCAGACAACCTCATGCATATATGTACATCAAACACACACAACTTATTATTTATATTTAATTATAAACAATCAAATAGAATTTATTTAATAGGAACTTGATTTATGTATATTATATATACTCTAATTATCTCCATATATATATACACGCATTTATATAACACAGCATGCACTCTTTATTTATACACCTACACTAATGCACACATTCTAAGTAGACATATACACCAAAATACACACTCACCACAATACGGATACATAAACCGACATACACACGCACCCCACTCGCACAAACAGCCATGAACGGCCTTTCCCACCATGACATACAAAACCCCAAACAATTAAAACATATATGCATAATCAATCATATACTAATACTACATAAAATCAGTTAAATAATCACCATCGGCATCTTATACAAGTTAAATTCAAAATCGCTATTGATCTTAGGTGATTTAAAGGTTAAATTTCTATTAAACAGTTACGGAGAGGGTTAAGATATCCTTAACTTAAGTTTGGTTGGTAAAGTACTAGAATCCCCACGCGCCACTGCACGCACCATTACCAGAGTCAGTACGGAGAGGGTTAAGATATCCTTACCTGAAGTTTGGTTGGAAAAGTACCAGAATCCCCACACGCCACTGCACGTACCATTACTAGAGTCAGTAGGCGCCGTTGCGAATGAGCAGAAATCACCAAGAAAGTCGTGGCATGCCCAGTCCAAAACAGATTAGCCAAAGCTATCGGGATCTGGCTTCCCCGCGATCCAGCCCCTCCTTCCCTGCCGCACACAGCAGTTTCTAGTTTCTTTCTCCCCCATCGCTCTGCGTGCCAAGAGAGGATCTGCCTTCCCGCGTGCAGATCTGTCTTCCCCTCGCCGCGCCGCGCACCAGGAACAAAATCTCCCTATCTTGCTGTAGCGTGATTCTTTCTTCCCAGCCCATCACGCAATGATCGCGCGTGAGTCTCCTTCTCCAACCGCCACTTCTTCGCCTCACGTGGATCGGCTGCTCGTCGTGCCTTGCTTTTCTCTTTCCTCTTCTTCTTCTTCTTTGCCCCTCTCTTCTCCCCCTTAGGGTTTCTTTCTTTTTTTATTTTCTCTTTTTTTTGTCGTTGCAGATGTTATTTTATTACTCACACTCAAATGTTTACAAGAGAATTATTTATACAGTGGAGGATCAGCAAAGAAAGGAAAGAAAAATCTCTGGTATTAATACAAAATAGTCTACTGATATTAATATCAAATATTCTAACCATTATTTAGTTGTAAATGACCTATCAATTAGTCAAGGGAAAAAAGAAAGAAAGAAACCCAATAAGGAGGAGACCAAAAAAAATAAGGGGGCTTTTAGAATCACATGGCCCATTCTTTACTAAATTTTTTTAAGCACTTATACCTCCAACCCGAGGAATCAAGAGATAAACATTGCAAATAGTTCCCATTGCTATGGCTAGTCTATGAGAAATTGGAGACAGGAGGGAGTAGGAAAATAGAGAAAGTTTACATGTAAGTATCTCATATTAATTAGCAAAAATACAAATTAGGAGAGGAAACTAGAGATCCAGTTGTAGGCATAGAGATTGTACGAGAAATTGGTTGTTAAAGTTATATATATTGCTTATACAAGGTGAGACATTCCATAAGTTGTGAGTGTGGTTTACATGTAAGTATCTCATATTAATTAGCAAAAATACAAATTAGGAGAGGAAACTAGAGATCCAGTTGTAGGCATAGAGATTGTACGAGAAATTGGTTGTTAAAGTTATATATATTGCTTATACAAGGTGAGACAATCCATAAGTTGTGAGTGTGGTAGTCAATTTATTCATAGGCCAAGAGAAGTTCTCCTTCATACAGTTTACTGGATACTATATTACTTAAGGCCATTCTTAACAAAACAATTATATTCAAAGGGAATACTGGATTAGTATTGAGGCATTACACGAAACAAATTATGCAGGCTCACCAGTTGATTAGGTCAATTTTGTGACCTAAAGGAGTAAAAAACATAGTATAGTCATTACATCCAGTGTAGTTTCGGAGTTCAAAGCGATGGCACAATGACTGAATTATTATAGCTCAAGATAATTTTGGAAGATTTACAAATCATCTGGGAATGCCAATAAAATTATTTTGCCACAATAAATCTACTATTAACATCATTAACAATTCTATGGTATATGACATAATGAAACATATTGACGTAGATACACTTTATAAAAAGAAAAATGGTTGGATAGTGGATCAATGTATATTCCATTTGTCTCAACTAAATGACACTTGCAAATGTGCTAACGAAGGACTCGGCAGTCTAACATTCTAAAGACTTATCTCCAAGATCATATTTAACAACTTCAGGAGTGCTGAAAAATCCCTCAATCTTCCCTTTGTAATACTAGGAAATTAATCTTCCTAAAATTATGGGATACCGGTTAGTGAATCTCATTTTGTGAAAAATTTGTTTTGATTTACTGTAATTGGTTTCCTATTTTTTTCTTTTTGTAACAACTATATATCCCTGTATATGCTCATTCTGAATATACTAAAAATTCAGTTCCTCTTCATGATTTATTATTATTGTTCTGCACTACAGGTGTATGCTGCACAACTTTGCAGGAAACATTGAGATGTATGGAATTTTAGATGCAATAGCTTCTGGTCCAGTTGAAGCACTTTCAAGTGAAAACTCAACAATGGCAAGTTCGAATCTTTCTTGCTCCAAAACATCATCAAATGCATGTTGAATTATAAAAAGATTTGGTAGCCTATCATGAAAGTGTGTTATTCCCATTCAAGATTGTCATTTTTTTTTATTGCTTGAACATCTTTCCCTCACTATACTTTGGCTGGATAATGCCAAAATCCTCTTAAATGTCTTTCACCTCATGCATTCCAAAACTACTAACAGCAGAATTAAAGATAAATCAGGTTTTTTGATGGTGTTTGTTCAGAATCCGATGCAAAGCAAATTCACATAATCAGAGTCACTAACAAGTACGGTAATGACTGCACTAATTTAGCTAAGCACTAGGATAAAAAGAGAGGGGTACAGGAGAGAAAGGTAGGACTGAAATAGATTTGTTCGGAATATCATAATAATAGTATTTTAAGTAATAAATCATTTTCTTTAATTCCTATCATTTTCATTTCTTTAATTACTAAAATATGTTTAATATCTAGAGCAATGAATTTTTGGTTTCTACTTGATTAAGTAGGAATCAGAGATCCCCTTTGCTAGAATTGAAAGCCAACATTTTATTCTTATTCTAATTTACACTTTATTTGTATGCCTATTCGATGAAAAAATTATTGTGAATCAAACATAGCCTAACTATCTTATACAGGAAAAATGACTAACAAAAATGGCCCAATAGAAAATTCCCTCAAGTTGGCAAATAAGAAGTTGCCTAACTTTGAACCAAACAATAGTTGTCTTAGGAAATAAAGACTATTAAGAAACAAAGTCTCACTTCATCATGTTGCCATTTCTTTTTCTTTTGAAATAAAAGTATAGTATGTTGTATTAATATGGACACCAAGAGGGTGCCAACCCATATACAAAATTATTTATAAGTCAATCAATTTATCGGTTAAGTTCTCTAAATCCTCCAAAGAAGTAGAACTATGATCCATTAAAAAAACTAAGAATATAAAACCATCTATTCTTAAGAATGTCAAAATCATTCACATCTTCAACCCCGTCAAAAGCCCATTTGTTCCTCTCCTTCCACACCGTCCATATTATAAAAAGTGGTGTTAATTCTGCTAGTTTACTCATCTCTTTGATACCCTTCTATACCCAAATGTCATCTCTAAACAAGGCAGTCATTACCCAACTGATGCCTATTAAACCATACACCATAGCACACAGCTAATGCACCACTAGATATCACAACAAAATATGATTACAACTCCCTTCAGCCTTCTTGCAAAAGTAACAAGCATTCACCAAAATCTTCTCGTTTCCTCATATTATCAATAGTTAAGATACATTCTCTGCATGTCTCCCACCAAAAAAAAAACGATACATAAGGAGGCACTTTAGTCTTCCATATTTGTATGACCGGGAATCTCAACTCATTACCATCATATTTAAGTAGCTACTTGTAGAAAAATTTATTTGTGAAAGATCAATTCTTTGTTAAAATCTACTGGGGTTTATTGTTGCTACCATTCATCGACACAAACGAAAGTGTGTTCAACAACTATTTGTACTCCTCAATCTCTCAATCATTCAAATTTCTCAATATCAGAACTTGCCAAACCCTTTGCCCCTTTTCTAATCCATAAAAAGGTCAGATATCATTGTGTCTTTCTGCCGAGTTATAACATAAATCTGGAGATACTAATCTTTGAGAGGATCTCCTTCCATCCATTGATCTTTTCAAAATCTTATTCTATTCCTCAAACCAACCTTTGATCAAATGTGTGCCTGAAACTTATCCTTTTCTGCCCCTACCTTCTTTGATAGACTCTTCCTATGAGGTCTAGACATCATCTCTGTAAACCAACATCCATCTTCTGTAACATATTTGCAACAATGATCCTTCTCCAAAATGCACCCTCCTCATGCATGAACCTCCACAACCATTTATCATGCAACGCCTCGTTTGTTTCCATTAATGACTGTAATCCCAAATCCCCAAAGGGTAGTGGTTGCATAATTTCATTCTATGTAAGCAAATGATTTTTTCTACTATCCTCGATATCACTCCAAAGAAATCTACATTGAATAGTTTTCAACTTCTCGGCCACACTTGCCAGAATGGTCAAGGTGACATATAGTAGACAAGCAAGTTACCAAGTGTGCTTCTAATAAGAGTATCTTCCCCATTTGAAAAGGAGGCTACACTTCCAACCAGCAAATCTCTGTTCAGATATGTCTACCACTGGGTCTCATTTCTTCACATCCTTATAACTTGTGCCCAAAGGTAAACTCAAGTATCTAATGGACAAGGTAGTCATGCTACGCTCTAAAGCTCTTGCAAAACTATCCAAATCTCCATCACATCTCAATCTTACCATCTTTGATTTAGTAAGATTTGATATTGAGTCCTGAGACTGCTTGAAAGCCCATCAGTACACATTCAAGATTGAGGATCATACCCTTATCCGGTTCACAAAACAGCATAGCATCATCAATAAAAAATAAATGGGTAACTTCTTCTATATAATTCTGCGCACCCACTTTTAAATATCTTAACAAACTATGTTCTCTGGCACAAATCAACATTCTATTCAAGACTTCCATGGCCACTATGAATAGCAGCAGAGAGAGTGTCCACTTGCCATAGCCCTCTACTAGGCTAGAAAAAGCCAGGTCTTCCATTCACAATAACACAAAGGAAGCTATGGTGATACATGACTTAACCAACAGATGCCATTTTTTCCCAAAATCCATCCTCATGAGCATGTAATCCACAAAAATCCAATTTATATGATCGTATATCTTCTCCGTATAAAACGTGCATAGCACCCCTTTCCTTCTCCTGTGCACCAACCTATCAACTAGTTCACTACTTATCAAAGCGGCGTCAAGAAACTGTCTTCCTCTATCCCCTCCTCCCCCCTCCCCCCCAACCCAAAGAAGCATGTTGAGACTTTCCAATCAACTTGCCCATGACTTTAGCCATCCTCGTTGCCTGAATCTTGGCGATCAACTTGTAGATACACCCAACAAGGTTTATGAGTCTAAAATCCTTAATGCACTGTGCTCCTCTAAACTTGGCAATGAGCACTAGGAAAGATGCATTAAGAGATTTTACAAATGCTCCACCTTTATGAAACTCTTAGAAAAGCTCAAAACTTCCCCTTTCATTGTATGCCAAAACTCTAACAAGAAATCCATATTAAAACCATCTAGACTCGGTGCCTTGTCCCTCTTGCATGCTATAAGACTTTCGAGAATCTCCTCTTTCGAAAAGTTTCTTTCTAGTTCCCTCTTGTTGGATTCATCAAGGTCTTTAAAAGTAACGTCATCTAGTTTTGATCTCCAGTCAAACTCTTCCTTATACTACCTATAGAAAAGAGTTGTGGAGCTACATTGATGGGGGTACATTTAAATTTCATTTATATGTCATCAGAAAAGAGTTTCATTGATGGTATTATTCCAGCTTCAACAGATGTTATTCAGTTGGCCAAATGGAAGATCAAAGATGCTAGAGCAAAGTCTTGGGTTATTGCTCATGTGGTTCTCAAATTAGTCTTAATTTACATCCATATAAAATTATTCAAACAATGTGGGAATATTTGAAAAAACTTTATAATCAAACGAGTTCAACTGAGAGATGTAAATTGGAGTATGAGATTGCATGTTATACTCAGGAAATCTATCTATTTAGGATAATTTTTCTAGTTTGTAAACTTTATGGGCTGAATTTTCTGATATAGTTTATGCTATAATGTCGAGAGATTCTATTACTAATGTGTTAGTTATTCATGATATTAGCAAAGATGATCATTTTTTGATGAAGTTACAATCAGATCATGAAAATACTTGTACGAATTTGATAAATCACCATCCTCTTCCTGCCTTAGATGTGTGTTTTAGTGAACTGATTCATGAAGAACATCTTCTTACACATACTACTCCTGCACATGAGAAATTGACGACACTCATGGTATTTGGCTCACAGAAAAGGCAAAGGTAGAGAGAGTAAGGCTCTAATGTTTTAGTTGCAAGAATTATGGGCAGATTTGTACAAATTGTACCAAGAAATTTTGCAGTTACTCCAAAACGTTATGACACATCATCAAAGATTGTCCAATTCACTTGAAAATTGTTAGATCACTACTTTTCAAGCATTTTGGGGAATTCTTCTACTAGTCAAATTCAAGTTGGGATCTCAACTAAATTAGTGATCAATCAAAATGCTCAACCAACTGTACTTACTCCTAAAATAGTGAAGCAAATTATAGTTTTAGCCTTATCAACTTTGGAGCTCCAAAGTAATGGTAATTCTTCATCCAAGTTTTGGTTTATTGATTTCGGCGCATCAAATCATATAGCTAACTTGCTGAAAAATGTCCACCCATATCATGGTTCTGAACATATTCAAGTTCCTAATGAAAACAATTTCTCTATTATTGTGATTGGTAGAAAGTAACTATGGTGTGCATTTCTCTTGTTATGATGGTTGTTATGTGTAAGATCAAGTGTTGGGGATGATGATTCTAGAGGGGCCTAGAGTTGGACCTTTTTTTCCACTACATATATTTGTTCATGAAATATTACTTTAGCTTGTCTTATTATTGTTAATAAAAGTGAAGTGTGGCATAAACATTTTGATACCCTAATTCTATTATATTATTCATTTGTTGAACTCCGGTTTCTTGGACAATAATGGTCACTTTGTTTCTTCAGTCTTTCTTTTGATTGTTCAACTTGTAGAGTAGAGAAAATAAAATTCTTCTTTTTTCTCATGTTGGTAGCTGTGCAGAAAATGTTTTTAATATTATTCATAGTGATATATAGGGAATTACACATATCTTTTCTCATGAAAAATACAAGTATTTTATGATATTTATTGATAATTATAGTCGATTTACTTAGACTTATTTTCTTCGTTCCAAATCTGAGATCTTTTCGGTTTTAATACTTTTGTTGCATATGCCAAAACTCAATTTTCTATTGTTAATGAAATTCTTTATTCTGATTCTTGTGGAGAATACATGTCTAATGCATTTTATGATATTTTAAATGCAAAAGGTATTCTCTCACAACATTTTTGTCTATATAAATAAAATGGTGTGGCAAAATAGAAGAATAGTTACTTTTTAGAAGTTGGTCACGCTTTGTTACTTGAATCTTCTGTTCCATCTACTTTTTGGATAGAAGCATTATCTACGGCAGTTTATCTCATCAATTGATTGTCTTCTCAAACTGTAAAGTTTTTAATCCCCTTTTTTTGGCTTTACAATCTACATCTTTACTATAAATATTTTTATACATTTGGTTATGCTTTTTTAATTTATTTTCCTTATCATGAATGTCATAAGTTTTTTGCTCAATCTGTTAAATGTGCATTTATGAAAGATATAACACTAGTCACAAAGGTTTCGTTTGCTATAATCTTTGGTTTAAGAAGCTCTGTGTTTCCCAAAATATTGTTTTCTTCAAAAATAATTGTTTCCAATCTATGATCAATCATTTCCTGATGGTGCTATTCTTTCTAATGTTAGTGAATTGCTTTCCTCTAGTAAACGGTTCAAACCTAGGTTTGTGTAGCAAAAATGCCCTTCACCATCGCTCGTTCCTGATAGAAATCCATCATCTTATCCTGCTCCACCTATCTTGAGGCAACTTACCAAAGTCTCCCGTCTTCCCATTGGTTTGACTCTTATCATACATCATTTAGAGCCACTTTGTCTTCTATTTTGGTCTTATCGTATGCACAGGCAATTAAGCATAAATATTGGTAAAAAGCAACGCAAGAAAAACTTCGGCCTTGTCAGGATAATCATATTCGGGACATCGTTCCATGCCCACCAAAAGTCAAGCTTTTTGGGTGTAGAAACTCTTGTCTGATGGAACTTTAAACTGTTATAAGACTAGATTAGTTGCCCTTGGTAATTGAAAAGAGTATGGGGTGGACTATGAGGGATTATTTGCTCTAGTTGTTAAAATGACTATTCTTCTACCAATTCTTATCATGGTTGGCCACTTTTATAGATGAATGTAAAAAATGTTGTTCTCCATGGAGATCTCAAAAAGGATATATGCATGAATCCTGATCTGTTTTTTTCTTTTACTTGTTTGTAACTTGGATCTTTTGTTATATGATTTAAAACAAACTCCCCAAGCATGATTTTCAGACGTTTCGATCCACCTTGCTTCAGTTTTAATTTTTACAAAGTCAATATAACTCTTCATTATTTCTTCATAAACTTCTATTGAATTTGTTCTTTTGGTCAATGTTCATGATATTATTATAATGAGAACAGATTCCTATTGATTACTCAACTTAAGCAACATTTTTAAGATTAATTTCATATGAAGGATCTTGGTCATCTTACTTGTTTCTTGGGTTAGGAAGTTTGCACGAAATCTTCTGGTATATTCTTATACAGGAATAAATACACGCAAGATTTGATTACTTTTACTGATCTTCAGGATTCTTCATCAATTGATACTTCTCTTAGAATGAATGTCAAGTATCAAACTGAAAAACAGAGAGCTACTTTTTGAAATGCTTGTTGTATTTACAATTAGTGGGGAGTCTGAATTACTTGACTATTATTATACCTGATATCTCTGTTGTACAACAAGTTAGTCAATTTCTGCACTCTCCATGTCACCTTCACTTGGTTGCATTTTGTCACATCATTTGGTATTTTGGAGGTACTCTTTATTGTTGTTTATTTATTTTCTGCTGAGTCTTCTATGCAATTTAGTACTTATAGCGATGCAAATTGGACTAGTTGTCCCAATACTTTCGTTGCTACTTGTTAGCGCATGTTTTTTAGGGAATCTTTGATATTATGAAAGAGTAAGAAACAAGATCAAGTCTCCAAATCTTCCACTGAATCTGAATGTCGTGCAATGTTTGCTGCATGTTTTGAGGTTACTTGGCTTACGAGATTGTTGATTGAGTTTGGTTTTCCTCAATCTGATTCCCTCCTCTCCATGCAGATAATATAAGTGCTATTTAAATTGCTATTAATCTAGTTTATCATAAGCAAACCAAATATATTGAAATGGGTTATCATTATGTTCGCGAAGATGTGAATGCTCATATTGTTTCCTGTCCAAATGTTTCAACAATTTTGCAAATTGATATATGTGCTTACCAAATCTCTTACAATGACATCAATTTCTTATTGGCAAATTGATGTTTCTTGATCAACCAGCATCAATTTGATTGGGGGGGTTGTTGCCATATATGGCAAGCATTTATGTTATACAACTTATTTATTGTGTATATATATTACCTTTCAGTAATATGAGTGCAGTTGTAATTAGAGAGAAAACATCCTATTATAATTAGAGAGATCAATCTAGATTCACACTATCATAATTAGAGAGAGAATTCAGACTTATCCTATCATAATTAGTGAGAAATCAGCCCAGCTGTAGTTAGAAAGAAATCAGTCCTAGATTATTGTGTATTATTCTATATATTGAATGAGAATCAGAAATAAAGAGCACTCTTCCATTCAATCAAAATTTCCCCAAATTAAAAGCTTATCACATCCTACTCATTGTAAGAAAGATGCCACCTCATCCTAACAACAAAAACTAAGATGCATACATCATCATGCTAATAAAAGCTGAGGCCATATTATCCTACAATAAGGCAAAAAGTGAAAAATGAAAAAGAGGGAAAAAAACATGAAATTACAAATATCCAACTTCTATTTCTAGGCCTACTGCTAGTTCTTAAAGAAAGTTACTATTTTTTGAATGACAGATTATATGTTCACCCCACCATTTGTTTTAAGGCTAGCAAATATGAGATGCTTCTTTCCCCCTAGATAATTATCAGAAAAAATTGATCTCTTTCACTATATGACTATACCACCAATCATCTTGGCTTATCTGCTTTTTATTTAATTTAGATTGTGAATCTGACAGTTATTTATTACTTATTGAAGGTTGGTGTTGGAATGTCAATGGAAGGAATAGAACAGAATCCAATTGTTTATGATCTAATGTCTGAAATGGCATTTCGACATAAAAACATTGATGTCAAGGTAATATTGACTCTTATTCTTTATGTTAAAATTTGCATATTTTCTTCTTCTCAGATTATAAATAATAAATTATGTCATTTTTTATTAATTTAAGCTTTTTCAATAACTAACAAGAATTAATTTTATCATGGTATGAAAATCAAATGTCTTGACTTCTAGATTCCTGTAGCACCTTTGTTTAATTAAATTTCAACCCTAGGTATGAAGTACATTCATGTATTAAATTTATATTTTCAATCTAGTAAGTTCTTACATACAAAGAGATACTAAGATAAGTAATAGATTGGTCCTATTAGTTTAAGCTTTTGGAATAATTGGCCATGACCAATTATTTCACACTTCTCGAGCTGCTTGCTGTTGTTTAAAATTTTTCTTAACCAAAAAAGAGTTACTAGGTTTTACCTGGATAAAACTCTCCCAATTGTGACAATTTTGTTTAACCTCTAGACATCAGGAATGTTATGCTACATTGTTAATTTTGAATCCCCTTTGAAAGCCTGTGCTTTCTTGCTGGATCGCCACCTAAATTTAATTAGGACCAAAGGTATCTATAACGTGAAAATAGTTCTCGGGTATCTTTTTTAAATAATATTTATATTTCATATAACTCAAGGAACCCATATTAAACTAGTTTGAATCATGGATATGAGCTCTTCTTGGTAAGTCTGGGAACCTGGGTCTCCTTTGTCTCAAATGCATCACTCACAAAAAAGAAATAATTGAATGTGCTTTAAAATAAATATTTCATGCAGATAAACTGAATGTATAGCATGCTAACAACCCATTCCATTTGTCTATGCGGCATTCTGGTGATGGTTTGAGTTGTATTAATTCACAGCTTCTGGCTTGAACTTTATCTTTTAGATTTACTGAATGTTTTGAATAATTCAACATGTTATGTAACTTGCTAGAACTCTTTCTCTCCTTCTATGTTGTAATTGTGTGATGATGGAGGATTAGTAGGAGCAATGATAACCGGGCTTTGGATTTTCTTTCAGGCATGGGTAGGTCTTTACTCAATGAGACGATATGGAAAATCGATTCCTTTGATACAAGATGCTTGGAATATATTATATCACACTGTTTATAATTGCACTGACGGGTCTTATGTAAGTTCTCTAACTTGGTGTTCTATGCATCTTTGACTAGGAGTAATAATCTTACATATTCCAAGCACTGGCTACATCTTATGTTTTTTTATTCTTTTCTGATGTGAATTAAAGCGATTCAATAGTAACATAATGCATAATCATTTTCATGTGAAAACTATTATGTAGCCTTCATCAATTCTCTAACTTGGTCTGCTAATGCAATGAGCTAGACGGGCAATTAAGACTATATGATCTGTTTCAGAACCGAATATAATGCACAATTATCTGTGCATGAACACTGTTGTGCATCATATTGTGACAATGTTAACAGCACCTATATTTAATTAATTATCCTCTTGGTATCCTCTTAAAAATAAAACAGACGTATAATAAAATAATATAATTTGTAAATATTTGTGATAAATTTATATATTTATATTAATATTTCTTTAGAAAAAAAAAACTACTTATTTTTTGTAATTAGCACTTTGTCTAAAAGCATAATTGTTTTTTTTTTTCAAATAAGAATTTACTTACTTTTAAGTAACTTAAAGTACTCCAGCATTTAAGCATATTTCTTTTCACAATTCCAAATATTCCAATGCTCTGCTTCAGCATTGATAGAAGTTCCATTATGCTCAGAACCCATATGTGGAGCTGCTTTTAACTGAAATATTTCTTTATCATCTGAATCTATATGTCCTTGGTATTGGAACAGGACAAAAACAGGGATGTAATAGTTGCATTTCCTGATGTTGATCCATTTTTTATTTCAAGTCCACACAAAATGCATTACTGTTTTGGCAAGCCAATATCAAGAGGAGCATCACTAAGGGAGCAAAAAGATTCACATGATCAGCCTCATTTATGGTATTCATTGTCTGAAGCAATATACGCATTAGAACTATTTATTGCCTGTGGAGAGGAACTAGCGGAAAGTAGCACTTACAGGTTACCATTGTTGAGCATATAAACTCCTCTTCTTTTCTCATTTCAGCTTCCATCTAATCTTATGTACATTTTGTGGCACTTTCTGCACAATACTCAGGTATGACCTAGTTGACCTAACAAGACAAGCTTTAGCAAAATATGCTAACCAGCTGTTCTTAGATGTAATTGAAGCCTATCAGCTAAATGATGTTCAAGAAGTTGCCCTTCTCAGTGAAAGGTTTTTAGAGCTTGTGGATGATTTAGATCTGCTTCTAGCATGCCATGATGGATTTCTTCTAGGACCTTGGTTGGAAAGTGCCAAGCAGCTTGCTCAGGATGAAGAACAAGAGAAACAGGTTGGAAACTCTTTGAATTTCAATCATAATCACAAAAATAGAACCTTTAAAATGATTTTCAAATAAGAATATACACTCCAATGCTCTAAATTTGAAATTGTTATGCTCAAAAAATTACAGTTTGAATGGAATGCAAGAACTCAAGTAACTATGTGGTTTGACAACACAGAGGAAGAAGCCAGTCTGCTTCGGGACTATGGTACGGACAATGTTTATGTCTTTATTGTTGACCTTATTAAACTTTGATATAGACTTTAATACTTTCTTCGGACATTATTAGGCCTCTCTCATAAATTCCCTGTCTCAAATCCAACATAATTTTTATCATATAGCAGGAACCCTGTACTCTTTTATTGCACTATTGCTGCAGTACAGTTATGAAACATTTCTTTTCCTTTATTTTAGGGAACAAATATTGGAGTGGACTTCTACAAGATTACTATGGTCCCCGAGCTGGTCTGTACTTCAAGTATTTGATAGAGAGTTTGGAGAATGGACATGTTTTTCCTTTGAAGGATTGGAGGAGGGAATGGATAAAGCTTACAAATGATTGGCAGAAGAGGAGGAACACATTTCCTGTGGAAAGCGTTGGAGATGCTTTGAGCTTAGCTTGTTTGCTCTATGAGAAGTACTTGCGAAGTCCTGGCATAAACTATTTGGATCACTGATTGGAGCTGTGGCCATGCTGAATCACGACCTAAATCAACTTCTTGGAATGCATATCATAGCACTGGTAATCAGCAAAATATTTATACTTGTATGAATCAGTTTTAAGGTAACTGTAACTACAATTCCTATAAAATTTTAGTAGATCGTCCGGTAAGAAAAATTATTACAAACTATTTGCCCGAAGTGATCTTTTTTGGAGGTATAACAGAAATTTGGAGCTCACAGGCTTATGAAAACATAATCATGTCATATCTTAACATTACTTTCAATTCCAATTGTTATCTCCGTTTTTTTATCAAAGGCGATACCTCTTATTCCACTGTAATAATATTTCAGGATTTATGACGACAACTTGGTATATTTATTATAAAACTATTAACTAAAATAAGTATATGGTTAACAAATTGGCAGACTTGAAGAATAGTCAAAGCCATACTCATTTGAAAAATGATGTTATCTAAACTCATTTGAATGGGAATCGAACTTGGGATTTTAATCCCACAAAAGAGAGAATTGTCAAGGACTCTTAGTTCCAATTTTATCTTGTTAGGTTCATGTGTTGATGGCCATAATTATGGACAGCAATGGCGAAGGACATAGTTATCTACCCAAACTAGTTGAGAGCAATTTTTAGCTGCACCAAACAAGCAGCTTAATTGCTATAATTAATTTATAATGGATGGTTGCCTAATCTTCCGGTATGTTTGTCATCATAATGTTATATCTGTAAAAACCATATTCATTTGGTTTAGGCCTAATAATGTCCATGGAAAATTGACCATAACCAATCTGAATTGCATAATTAAATACTCTTATATTGATAATTTCATTTTGCTTCATAAATTTAAAATTATAACTGAAAGTATAAAATTCAAATACTTAATTTTAGCTTCAACTTTTTTTAAAATATTTAAATTACATTCTGAAATTTTTTTTTTCCCTGTATAAATCAATCTTCTTTTAAAAATGTTTCACGTCATTCCTTTGTCATTAGTAATGACTAATATTAATTCACGTAGATACCACGTAAAGATGTTTGGCATCCATGTGAGCTCACTCAAAAGCAAGGGGCCCCTTCCCATCTCCCTGGCGACCAAGTTTATCCGATCTCCCACCATCTGCTTTCTCGTTGGAATCACCACTGGTTGTTGTTAGGATCTAGCTTTGACATGTGATTCACCAAAATCAGAATTTAAAAATCTATAGAGTTTAAATAATTTTGGGGTAATTTGATATAATCGAAAAGATTGAGGTAAAGTTTGAAATTAAGAAAATAATGTGGGACATAAATTTCAGAAAAGAAAAAAAGATTTTGAAATGAGAGAAGAGAGTGTCAGGGAGAGAAAAGAAGAGAGCTTGAGAGAGAGAGAGAGATC